GAACTAAGCAGACTGTCAATAACACAGTATGGCAGTGGTGTATAATTAAAAGTAAATGATAACAGAATTGTCAAATAGTGAGAAATGCACAAATAATGAATAATTACTTTATAATAAACATCAATAAAGAAAATAATGAGAACTTTGATCCAAACCTCCAAGTTCCAAAAGAATGTATGAAAAAAATTGGGAGTTGTGATGATGGAACAGAATCACATCCTCAACAACTGGTTTCTTTTTTTATAACCTACAAACATGTGTGCTATATTTTAAAAAGCATAAATACTCCTACCTCAAAGATACACACAAGCATAAACACATGCAGTCGCACACAAAAATACACCTACACACACAGCATAGCCTACTCCATGGTTCTAATTACTGCATCCACTCACCAAGCATTTCCTATTATACAATGAATACCGTATCATGTCAGATCATATTATATAATTAGGATAACAATGGCATAACACGAATCACTTCACAAGATTAATTGTCAGAGGTAGTAATCACTCCCACCGTCTCATTCATAAAAAGCATACTCAAAAATTCCATGTCCCAACCAGTAATATCTCATTAGAGCTTTATAGAGATCAGCTCCTTTAATTAGCCATCCCGCCTACACCGTCACTGATAAAAGTATGTGATCTGCCTGTTGTATGCTGGCATGCTGGTATGGGATATGTGTATGTCTTTTCTGTAGTTAAAAAAACAAACAAAAAATCCCATTGCTGTTGCAGTTAGGGGGTAGCTGCTTATACATGTATCTGTGTTCATCAAAACACTTGTATATGTTTGTCTTTGAGTCATAATCTGTGCTTTGAGGCACAAATTTGATTACAGGATCACTTTGAAAATGGTAGAAATGTGTGTGTGCAAGAATATGAATGAGCTTGTGCGTGCATCTCTGATTTATTTTTTATTTTTTTGTATGTGTCTCTGAAAGTCATATTATAATTTAGATTCTAAAGCACCACTTTTTCACATTAATTTAATGAGTTTTTTCCTTCAGGGCAAAATAAAATAAAATAATTATTTAAAAAAAACTGCCTCTACCAGACATGGATGTGTCCCAAAGCTCGAGGAAATTAGTAGTCATTTGAAATCAACCCCATCTAAACACCTCAAACAACACTTTCCTGATGGATGACAATGGGCCTGGAAAATGACTTCTCTGCCTTGAGGCTACAATAGCTGACATATCCCAAAAAAGCACCTTTAGTATTATACCAGCCATTTTGCCAAGTGAACCACAGGAATATGAATCTGTGTCCAGTTCAAGTTTAAGTTGAATTTCACCACAGGATCAAAATATTAGTCGAAAAACATTATATATTTCTATTTAATTCCCCTAAACCCAACTACAAACTGTTAGCTATTATGCTTACACAAACACTGGCTCTCCAATCACAGTCGCAACTGTGAAGTTTCAGCTTTTCCCAAAGCAAAAATCAATCATTGCATTCTCCTCTATCTAGGGCACAATTATTTGTTGATCACCAAACTCTGTAATTCCAGATCCAAGGACCATTAACGTGAACACAAATAGAAAGTGAGTTTGCCTGAAACATCAGCATCTGTTCTCTGGAAGGGAGGGAAAGCTGTGCTGAGAGGTAAAATCATTTTATTCTCATCACATAAGGAGAAAAGAGAAAAAAAATATATTGAGGAATTAGAAGAAACCATTAAATCCTTAGAAGAAGCCTACATGTCTTCCCAGGAACAGGAAGTGATGAACAAAATATGCAAAGCAAAACTAGAATCAAATGAAATAATTGATTAAAGGAACCCTCAATTCTTAGTACAAAGACCTTGCTTGAAACACAGTAACAAATCAGGTACATTATTACAACTGTATATGCTGTTAACAGCTTCATTGGGAACACAGTATATGGAAGCGAGGAAGCCGACTTTCATAAAGTGGTTAAAAATATTGTGCAGTTCCCCAACAGGATGTGTCAGAACAAATGACCAAACATCTTCTCGAGAGGGGCACCAGGAAAGGATGCCTACTCTCCCCCTCACTGTTTGCAATCTTTATTGAACTACTAGCAGCAGCAATTAGACAGGCTATAGTGATTAAGGTCCTATAATGCAAGAACGTAGAACATAAAATCAGCCTTTATGCAGATGATGTATTGTTTTTTTTCCAACCACTCTTTGAGGTAATTACATTGAATTTGTCTTCCTTGAGTTTCAGATTATTGGATAAACTGGTTAAAATCATCAATTCCTCTGATTAATTGTTTCTTCCATAATTCTTCGTTGACATCATTGCGGTCTCGATATATTAAATTTTTAGGCATTAATGTTTCTCCTAGGCTTGCAGATTTAACTAACCTGAACCACATCCCAGTTTTAAAGAAAGTGGAAGATCTGGCTAGATGGAAGTCTGTACACATATATCTCACGGGAAGGGTCACTTCAATAAAAATGATGGTTTTCCCAAGAATCAGTTATTTGTTCTCAGTGATCCAGAGTAAACCATTACCTGACTGGTTTAGATCTCTGGATTCTTCAATCTCTGAATTCCCTTGGAAAGAAAACCCTGTGTATAAGCTTAGAAATGCTACAGAGCACCGAGGATAGAGGAGGACTAGATGTGCTTAACTCTCACCACTACTTCTTAGCCAACAGGCTACAATACATTTCAGGATGGTTAAAACTCAGTTGAGCCCTGGCTACACATAGAACAGGCACTATGCAATAACAGAGATTTCAGATCTCATAAGCTGAAAAATATCAAATGACACGTGTGCTTTAATATCAGCTCCGCTCTGTCAGAGAGTGTCTATAACATATAACATTACAATAAAAGAACAGCTAACAACTAGCTTAACCACTGTGTGAAAACCAGTCAGTGATGATTTTATTATTCACAGTAAGCAGCTTCATCTTGCTTTTTATTAGATTTCTGGAATACACACCAGAACTCCATCCAACTTTACTCGACATGATATAAATACAAATGGGTTTAAGCCCATTATGAAACACAGTATTCTCATCCCAGATTGCCAGGAGGTTTTTTCAGAAGATGCTAGTGATAATAGCATAGCTAGCTGCCAGCCAGTGGTAACAATCCATGCTGGGCTCAAACAAAAAATAAATAAATAAAAGCTGCTTAGATTAAGCAAAAAACTTCACAACATGATGCATAAGAGCTCTCGTTTGTTTTATGTGTAAATCCTAGGGGTCCTCTACCCCTCAGTTTTGATATGATACCATGCAACAACTCCAAAGAATACTTTCCATATTTAAAATTCTAACACTGGGATTGAAGACACGAGGGATGTTAGTCAGGTGCAACATCTCAGCAGCAACCACTGAGGAAACTGGTGCGGATTAGAAATCATAGACCCATTATTTGAGGAAATGGTATTGGTAAATGTAAACCCCTGGTAAATAACTTCACAGCAGTGAAGTGTGTTTCCTAGTAAATGTCTTAAAGTGCCTGTCAGTTGGAAGTATGATTGCCCATGGTAGATACTTTCTGTACTATACACTTCAAAGACAAATATCTGCTTTAAAAAAAAACAACACACACACACTTTTAACTCTGACACTCTTAATTTGAAAGCTCAAAGCTGATGCGTCATCACTTATACATCTTTTAATGCTCACTTTGGCTCATTCCTCGGTGCTGAAGCTGTCTGTCAGTTGAGTTAAGGTGTGGCTAACAGCTAGCTAAGTGGTGCAAATTGAGCTGGGGCCATGTAATAATGATTTGAAGATGGAAAGTCATTCATCAGCACTGCTTTAAAGCAACAAGAGAATAAGAGGAAAGAAGTATTTAAAGTTGATTAATCAAACTAGTATATGGTTGCATCAGTATAGATTATAACTATAAAAGGCTCTTTCGTGCAGTGTATTTTATATTTGACACTCATATAACTATAGTGTTTCCAAAATGCGATCAATCCCTTTGAAAATATGTACAAGAATACATTACTCAACAATTCAACAGCACACTGAATGACTTGCTTCGCTGTTGATAGTGTGAAAGTGACTGAGTATGAACTGTAATGAGCCAGCTACTCTTCTTTGTAAAACGACCACTCTTATAATATCCATTTAGTTTAAACTGGGGATTTGTTGATTTGGAATAAAATTGTATTACTGATTCCTGGAGCTTGCTTTGAGCTGTAACAATCTGCGAATTAAACACAAATACATTTTCTGTTCCATCCAATTAACTTCTGCTGTCTTTTTCAGTGAGACGTTTTTTGGGATATTGGGGTTTTAGATCTCACCCACAGTGATTATATTTGCTTTCTCCATCAACGCCATACAACAACAAAGTCAGTGTAAGCATGCACTGAGGTTAAGTATTAATTGACTGCTACATTAGTGACAAAAAACAAACAAAAAAGGAGACTGTACTTACTATGTCGTTGCTGGTTTTACCTTGATGACACCAACTAAACACTCACACATGCATGGCAAATTTAGCATGAGTTGTGAGTCACTGATGTCGACACTTGCCAGCCTTTGTGTACTACATGCATGTATGTATTTATTCTGTGATATACACATATCACCAATAAGTCCATAGGCAATAAGACAAAACTTCTTTACTGGCAACACAATTACACTATGTTTAATTTCTGATTTCTTAAATTTCTGATTCAAAGATGGCTTGCAGATTGTTGTGTTCAATAAAAAAAACAGTAAGAATCTAAAAGAGCCACCTATACCTTTTAAACTCAAAGCTAATGTATGAGTACACAATTTATGGTTATTGTTATTGTCAAAAAAATGATCTTGTAATAATTTCTTTTCTTAAATTAACTGACACTTTTACTGTCACTGTAAAGACAACTAAGACTGCTTTAAGAAATGTGTGGCACTATCATTCTTATGGCCCTGAAGCACAAAGATCAAAGACCATTTCCAACAGCTACTCACCCACAACTACTCATTATAAAAGGGATACGTTAAAGAGCTGCTGCATGGCAGAGGTAGCAGTTAAAAAAGAATAGATATGAGATTTTGACTCCTACCTCTCTGCTGTGGAGGAGGCCTTTCTCTGGCACATAACTGCCAACGAACTGCTTCCCGGTGCCATTTCCTGTTTGATCTCCCATGCGACAAGGTTGCTGGGTTTCACAGCCAGGAAGTTGATACCTGACTGGAACCACACCCTGCAGAGAAGAATGTAGAATGAGACAAAGTAAGAAAAAAAGAGAAAGCAAGGTTAATCTAAAGTTCACACAAGCACATTATAAACCGAAGAGAAAAGAAAGCTGAGTTGTTACAGTGACAGTTAAGGTACAATTTGCTTAAAAATTCAATTTGCATCGCTTGGAATTTCCCTGCCCCGATTTTCTCACTGATTTTCTTTAATCTCTGATGCGTGCCATACTCTCTTTGTATAGAACGCCTTTTAAAATTGATTCACGCAGCATGGTGCCGACTCCCACGGTATGTTTTGGTGGGAGAAGACAAAGGAGTGACAGCAAAGGCTCTTAAGAAAGTTAAGAGTTTTACTGAATAATTGCTGCAAGCAGGCTGAATCAGATGTGTTTTGAGGTGGAGATTATGGCTAATTCAGAGAATGCAGTTCTGCTTATGAGAAAGGCTACAATGAATTAGTAATTATTCAGGGACATGATTAGGAATTTTGTTTCCATTTTCCTTCTTCACTCCTGTTTCCTCTCATCAGTATGCTTCACCACTTTTCTTTCTCTTTCTGACACTTTTTTTGTCACCTTTCTCCACTCATCCCAACGCTTTTCTTTTCTTCCAGTCTTGTTTTCCTTATGTTAACCTTCTTTTAGTATAGCACTGGCATATTTTTTTAAATCCAGGTTTCTCTTTAATCTAGATCAGCGGTTCCCAACCCCGGGCCTCGGACCGGTACCGGTCCATGAGTCGTTTGGTACCGGGCCGCGAGAGTTGAGGCTCAGGTGTGAAATGTATAGTTTTCAGGGTTTTTATCGGTTTTCAGCATTATTTTGTTATCGTTTTTATCGTTTACTCGGTTTTCCTTGGTCTTTTCAGGTGTGTTATAAATAAATCTTCTTTTTTCCGGTACCGGTACTAGTTTTATTTTGTTATATTTATCCGCGACACCTTAAAGGCCGGTCTGTGAAAATATTGTCGGGAATAAACCGGTCCGTGGCGCAAAAAAGGTTGAAGACCGCTGATCTAGATAATGTCCTCCTCACCTGCCATCCCCATCCTCGTCCTGTTACTCCATTGTTCCCTTCTAGATGTTCTAATCTCTATTCCTTCATCACCATCATTCCCCAGTTCCTTTATTTTTTCCAGCCAGGTCCACTCTTTCATCTCTCAGTCTCATTTCTTTTTCTTCACCTCCTCCTATAAAGCTTCTGTTCACCCTTTCATCCATTCCTCAGTGATTTCTTTCCCTTCCTTCCCAGTATACATTGCTTCATCCCTCCCTCTGCCCCTCCTCAATCCTTCATTCTCAAGGCATCCTATAGTTAATCTCTTTATTTTCTTTTTTTGTTCACTCTCTCTCTCTAATCTGTCCCGGTGTGCTCTGTTCTATTTATCACCTTGACGAGACCCTCCCTCAGTTTATTAATACACTTTATAAGCATGCATACACATGCACACTATCGTGTTTACGCCTCTTCTTATTAACACACATACACAAACAACACTGACAAAGACACACTCTGAAGTAAAAAAAAAGTTTTCCTCAACACAGAAGTAGGAGGCAAAAAAGTTCCACTTTTTATTTCTTTCTCATTATTACTTTCTTGTGTTTCTCTTGCTTTATGTCTTGCCAAAACTGTCTGCAAACATGCCATACCCTTCCCTTGATAAGCTCTCTGTACATGATATTCTTGTGAGTGTGTATGTATAAAAACACCTGCGTATGTCAGTAATAATCTAATCAAGCTGTTTTTTTGTGTTTGGCACAAAATTGTGAACCTCTTGTAACAACCTGAAAACCTACTTTTTCTTTTTCACTCTAAAGTATTTTTTTTTTTGGTGTATTTTGAAAAGTGAAAACATTCCCCGCTCATCATTTTATATTTTGCTGCAATCAGGAAACATGAAGGAGAAAGGAAGAGCAAAAGTTGCATTTTGCAATAAAGGAAGTGTACTTTGTTCATTGTCTATGCAAATAAAATACAGTGAATATTTATTTATGAGTTTGCTGTAGTGCAGTATAAAATAAAAACTTCTATTTTATAATTCAGCAGCTGAATGTGGGAGGAAAAACTGTGCCATCATTCTGCATTTTCTGGTTCTGTCTCCACTCCTTTCCTTTCTTCAATCTCTTCTATCTCCCTTTCTCACTCACTTCTTTCTCTCGCCATCTCCCATCTTCAACAACCACACAGTTCAAGCCACTTCAAAGTAAAGTTACTACACATACAGTGGCAGCAAACGCATGTAAAGCAAAGCAAGTTTGGCGAAAGAGTTAGGATATTCTGTGAATGACAGAATGACAGGAATGGAATATGAGGGAGTAGAAATGTACATTTGAACATTCGCTGAGAAAAACAAAAATCATTGGAGTGATTTTTAAAGGACAAGGTTTTGCAAAGACAAATCATAAATAAAACATTTAGGTGAAAAAATGAATTTAAAAACAAAATTTCCCCACCACTCCACAGGCAATAAAATAAAACAAAATGCTAAAATAGTGAAGCGAATGCAATGCAATGCAATAAAATAACAGTCTCATGTGAGAGCACAAACCTCAGTCGTCTTGTAATTCAACATATTGTAATGTAACAGATCTCATGATATAATATCAAATAAAGCACCTTCTTAAACGCTCTACAGAAACATAATTTGCATATTCATAGTATAAAACCATGCAAAATCTTGCAGTACCTACAATTCATACACATAAACAACCAAACAGTGTAACAGTTATGTCAAAAGGGAGAAAAAAAGCCTTTTGCTCGAGTGTTTAAATTACTTTGGTTTCAAGTACAGATCAGAGTGAGAACCATGTCACCATTGTGATGTTTCCTTTTTTATGACTCTCATGTCTCTGTGCCATTTTCTTGATATGAGAGGTCATGGATTAGCTATGCTAGAGGGCTTCAATGTACTGCTCAATCTGCATTCCAACTCTCACCAATGGTCCTCAGCCCTGGGTAGTACCAGATAAAATAGGGTCACTGATAAAGGCAGACATCCTGATGTCTGCTCCTCTGCGAGGAGCCAGTTGAGGTGGTTTAGGCATTTGACATGGATGTCTCCTAGGTGAGGAGTTTTGAGCATGTCCTACCGAGAGGACATCCCAGGGCAGATTACATCTCTCGGCTGGCTTAGCAGTGCATCAGTGATCCCCTGAAGGAGCTGAAGGAGTTGGCTGGAGATAGGGAAGTCCCTTCCAATCTGGACCCAGACAAAGGGCAGACAAAGGGCAGAACATGGGTGGATGGATATTAAAGTGGTTGAAAGAGAGTGATTATTTAATTTGTATTTATCACAAGGCACCTAGTTGCAGTAATAGTGTTACTCTGCATATCCTCTGTGTAACTGTCTATTATTATATTTCCATATTTTCCAGTATTACAAATGGATCTTGGAAACAATAATACTTTAACAACTGCTGCAATTTTTTAATCCTATAGTTTCTCAATAAATTTTAGTTATCTACTTTAATAACACACCTACTGATGACTGATGCAGTTGGTTATGCACTACTCTGTTGTTTGTATTATCATTTTAAGCTTCAAAGTATATTTTGTATGACAAAGATGTTCTTGGTAGCTGTCACGCAGGAGAATTCAATACATATTTCTGCATTTTAATGAAATGACCTTTGGCATGAAACAGTGTGTTCACATGTGCAACAGGGTCATTCAAATTATTGGAGAGGGGAGAGAGGCAAAAATCACCACTGAGAAGTAGGTTTTATGTGGAAATATTAGTCCAGTGGATTGTTTTTCACATACCTTTTTCATAACGTGTTCATTAACTGAACCACACACTATTACACACACCATACAGTCTGCGATCTCTGTATAGTCATCAAAATGCTAATCGTCAAGTTTCTAAAGTCCTCATGCCAAAAATCAGCATTGTTTCAATAAAAAGTGAAAATGGTGAATTTAAAGCAGCATGTGGTTTCAATCAAGAAACTAGAGTACTGACAGTTTACCCTTGAAATTAAATGCATGAAAAAATATAAGATTTTGCTCACCTGATTGGAAATTCTGAACATGCATAAAAAACACAGACTGTCATATATGTAAGGAGATAGAAAGACACTATGTTCTGCATCTGTCAGGTCTTTGGTCGTATGTGCCTTTGTCCATGTCTGTCAGCAAGAAGGATGATGGACAAGGCTGCGTCCCTAAGCTGCTTCAGCCAAGACTGACACGTCTCTATGTGACGCTCTTCCTCTGTAGGTCTACTTTTCAGTGTAATGCAGGAAGACAAGCAAAACTTCAATGCGCTGTCTCTTTCGGTTTGTTTCCCTTTGTCTAATTCGCCTACTTCTTTATTAATCAGGATTATTTATATTTTTTGTGTACCTCATGCAGCTCTGTCGTGAAACAAGATTATTATTCAGTATCACATTTTGCATTAGAAATGAACAAAGCCCACCAACTCATAATTACACACATAACTTGACCTTACCTTTAACTGTATTAAAAAAAAGGTTTTACTCATTAAGAATTAGAGTGTGCTCCCCTTGGTCACAGGTAGCTCACAGAGCATTACAATAGATTTTTTTCTCCTTGTTTATTGGCATCTCAACATTAGTTTTCTAAGTTAAGAAATAAAGAGTAAGTAAAGAGAAAAGGCAATGCCAAGAATGCCAAGAACCTACACTATAAATAAATTTCCCCTCTGCTTTTTTAACATCACAAATGCAATTTTTTTTTCTGTCAATGTGATTATGTCTCCTTTTCCTTTTTTGGTGTATGTTTACTTTACTTATGCAGACTGCCTTCCCTGTAATATATTAAGCAAACTCAGGTTTTATTACATATTTGCTACTTGACTTAAAAAAAAAATCCGGATTGAATATGAAAGAGAATATAGCTGGCCGAAGCATCAAATCGAGTCAAAATAATTACACTTGATTGACTTTGTTGAGTACAACCTTTTTTTAAACCACCTTATATTTTAATCATAACCTTACGCATATTTCACCCACACTTACTGTTTAGTTTACCAAAGAAACTGTAGGCTT